CTGCATTCCAGACGAATGGGGCTTCCTTCTGCCACCTCCTGACTCTTCAGCTTCTGTAGGAAGCAGGGAGGAGACAACGGCCCATTAGAGGTCGGAGCTCCAGAGCGCTGGTACCTTGCAGAGGCTGCCACTCCCATCGGGCCTCCAGGCTGTGGCTCCAAGGTCATGGCCGGCTGGTTGTACTGTGTCTCCTCTTGCTGGCTGGGAGGCAGAGATGGAGCAGAGACTGAGCCCTGAGGGACCGGTCTCCGACTCCTTGGAGACAGATAGCCACTGTCAGGAGAGGAGGAGTCCTCCTCTCCTTGCTGCTCCAGTTGAGCAGAACCTTTGAAGATGGACGACAGCTCCTCGATGAACGTGGCCGCTCGGCTACAGAACTCTGTGGCTGAAGATGCCCGGTCATTTAGCTCCAGGCCTTCGTGAACCAGCCTGGGTTTATCCTGCTTATAAACTGGCTGAATGGGTTTGTGGCGGACAACCTTCTCAGTAGAAGTCGGAGCCTCACTGGACACCTGTACCGGTTTGCTGAGAGCAGCGTTCTGGCTGGAAGAGACTTCAGTTGCTGCATTGTCATCTGGGCAGGGGGCTTTGGTCTGGTGCTGCAGGTTTGGGCTCCTGGTGAGGTTTACAGTAGTCTGGAGAGGCACAGGAAGGGAAGGGACATGTTGGAGAGCCTGCTCCTGGGATGAAAGATTAGAGGGGCCTGGATCTTCAGATTGAAATGGTTCACCAAAGGCCTCCCGGGCCAGGTCCAGGCTACGATTAATCTCATCTGCACTCAAGAAGGCAGTCAGATCTGCAAAGTCCCCATCTCCAGAATCCAGCTCTGTCACTGAGTCCAGGTAGTGTTCCCTATCAGAGGATGCCTCAGAAAACACACCCCCATCGCCCTCCAGAGTCCTGCCTCCTGCCGGGTCCTTCAGCAGCAGAGAGATAGGGAGTGGTTGATTCCAACTCCCGTCCTGCATCCTGGAAAACACATCAACTGTCATTAACCAGCAAATTACGCACATTTACACTGCAGACAGTACAGTTTATACTGCATAAATCACATTACTATTAGTAGAAAGGGAAATGACAACAGTTACAAAAGGAGTCAAGCTTAAAATATAGCCTTTTATTGATATTACTCTTGTAGCCATAGCTGGCAGGATGACTCAGGCCAGTGTTGTCTGGACACAGTTGGTGGGTATTAGCAAAGGCCTTAACTGAGGTCACAGTGAACATGATTGGCATTTCTTACTCACTGTTTCTGACGGGACATTTTACCCCGTCACTCTGTTCTTTATTGTACTTACCTTACACGAGTCTTACTCCACTTTAACAGAGATTAACAATTATTTTCCTTGATCCAATAGTTTTTTTTGTAATCAATTAATCATTTTGTCTATAAAAATGGCTTAAAAGTGATCAAATTAATGCCCATGTTACTGGTGTCCAAAGTTCTTATTTTGTCTCACCAGCAGTAAAAAAGTGGAGAAAAGCTGAAATGAGATGAAAATGTTGACTTATCAATTAATTGACTGGCCCTTTCAGCTTGGATTACTGATGCTGTAGGAAGAGTAGGCCAACTACAGTTGCTTTAATCAATGAATGTTATTGCAAAAAGGCCACACCCAACATTATATAGAACTGCTATTTAGTCATCTAATCCAAAATAAATGTGCACGGTGTGTATGTTCTGTACATTTACGTCACCTGATGCATCCTTACTGGCTAGTTTACCCATAAGTTTCACTTTTTGACTGTAAAATGGGTCACAGACACATGTAGTTTAAAATAGGTGTGTTTCTTCTCTCGGGATGTTGACTCTAGATGTATAGCATGTTGTGAAGCTGTCGGCGTAGATGCATGCACAACGCAGTGTGACACTCATGGCGTCCTGAAGACCAGCTGTTGTTATTTTTAATCTCCTGGGCTATGTTTCACAGCAGCAGCACAAACTCACCCACCCTGAGCATAAGCAGAGAGGTCCATGAAACTCACACACTACCTTCAAACGCACACAGGTAGACGTGGACGTGCACAAACACACACTGAGAGACTCTGGGTTAAAGCATTAAAGAGGGAAGCAGATATCATGTCTCTCAAATGTGCTGAAGAGACCAATAACAGCACAGTGCTTATTAAATATGAATGTGGAAAATTTTAAACATTGAGACTGATTGACAGAATGTTAACAACTGTCAGTGCTGGCAACGTTTCCACTAACTCCTTTCCAAGATTTTCTACCCCTTATTATGTTAAATATTTACTGTATCTTATGTATTTTAACAGTATTTGTTATATATAATACAACAATACAATAAATAGTTTAAAATGAGAAGGAATCCAAATGTCCTTAAAAGACAGAGAAGATATTGATATGTCATGTTTAAATATGACTGATACTAAATGTAACTACCACATTTAAAACAGTTACACTGTTACATTAAATGACTCACACTCTTGATATAACTGTACCATAAAATGCTGTTGAGAGTATCAACAAAAAAGAGCAAAACTTACCTTAAAGTGGGCTATTTGACACTGGATCCTGGTTTCGTGGTTCCAGGTTTGTCTCGTTTATTAAGTAAGAATGAGCTAAAAAGAAGCTTCTCTTTCCAGAAGAGCAGCCTTATTGGACAGACAGTCAGCAGGATCTCTCAGGTTCAGGGTCCAATTGCGTACTGCCTCTGCAGTGGCCTGCTGTCCCATCTGTCCCGGTCTCTAACTGCTCACTGTATGGGGCTATATTTGGCCCCGGCTCAGGTTTCACAGCCAGGACACTGGCAAGAAGAGAGAGTGTTATGGTAGTCCAGGGGAACAGAAGGTAGTGGTGACATTTTCACAAAAAACAGTGTTTGTTAATTAAACACAGTAAACATGGAAAACAGTGCATCCTGTGATAATACATGACACCACACACCCACAATATGCACTAATAAGACCTACAATTGTGCTTCATGCAACATTCAGAGGCTCTCAGTCTGCACTGGCCACTCTTAAAAACACAGGTTTGGATAATGAAGAGATATCAGACGACCTGCTAGATACATCAGTTCCTGGTTGGGTTATGGGTTGTCCGGTGAAGACTTCTAATATGACACTGTGAAGTGACAGCAGCTTGTCAGTGTTGCTACACTGTCCAGCTACCCGATGACCCCAGACCACCCACTTATCTGTCTCACCTATGGGTAAGTCATCTTAAAATGGGCCTGGGAGGATTTAGCAGAGACTAGTGCGTTAGCGGTTTGGTCAAGGTCAATGCTGCTTACATGGAGCATGTTCAGATTCAAATAAGACATTTTAAACCCTCCGCCCAGCCAACAAATGACATACAAAATTGTCTCATAAGGTATACCAAAAGAAGATGGCTCAGACTAAAAGACAAAACAGTGGGTTAGAAGGATATCAGACAGTCGAGGACCATGCAGCCTCACTTGGTCTATTTCTAGGCCACTATCACATTTTGTGCTCTCATAGCTATTCTGGTTCTTCATCAATCTACTGATTACAGTTAAGTGTCAGTGATACATTTGGAAAGAATTTCCACTGTATAGCTACCTACTTCACACACACACACACACACACACACACACACAGTTAATGTGTAATCTTCTAAATACTCGCTTGTCACCATACTCCAGTTAGTAATAACTGGTACTGATGTATTAAGTAAAAATAAATGCATTATTTAGTAGTGAAATCTATAGACTTGGATCTGTTCTGAGATCTACGTAAGAATAGTACTGGAACATTTCCACCTCTCTTTCATACTGTTATGTGCCAACCACAACAGATTGTTTACATGTCGTCTACATTCAGTAATTATCTATAGTGTTTCTATAGATAAGGGACAGAAATTCGAGTATTGCTAACATGGTCAAGCACAGACATCATCTTGACACACAAGATAGATTATACTTGAAAAGAAGAATTTATCTGATTGTCTGTATTATCTCCACAGTTAAGATAAAACAGGCTGTACAGCTGACGCTACATGTAATATCAATGATGGTGTAGCACAAAGGTTTCCAAATTTGAGGGTCCCGACCCCCTCTAGAGGTCACCAAAGCTTCAGGGCGGGTCGCGAGGCCTTCTTAATAGGCCTTTATCTCAGCTTTTCATTCATTTCTGTGAAGAAAACTAAATAATATTGTTATTTTTAAAGTTTAGATTATCAACTAAGATATAAACTTAAAAAGATCTCACAGGATAAGGGCTCGGTGGAGACCTGACCACAAGCCATATTCACAGAGCCTTCCTACTAAACAGCCTGGTCCTGCATCACAAAAGTACGCAGTTAAAACAACCAAAGAGCAGAACAATGGCTAAGCATGAGTGAGAAGAAAAGAAAACACTGAATTTGGCAAAAAACAAAAACAAAACATACATTAACATTAAACAGACATAATTGTATAAAAAGTTCCTAAAAATATCAGGGAAACTCATCTCTGTTGTAATATTCACAGAAAATAATCAGCTTGAAATTCATCCTGTATAGACACTATTAACATTGGCGCTAGCATTATCAATAATGCTAAATAATATTAATTATGTGTTAATATTGGTGTTGTTCCCACAGACACATGGAGATGTAGTCTGACAGTGACCACTAAAGAATAATTTACAGATTATTTCCCAATAAATAATAAGATGAAAAAAATTAAAAACTTTCCAAATAAACAGAAATGTAGTTACACACTATTATCACTAGAGGGGAATAATAACACACACAACAAACATCCATTCAACGAACACCAAGGCCAACATTATAGATATAATAACACAACAGGGAATTAATAATTAACAGAAGTGTGGACGCATTAGTTATTCACTGTTTCTGGGTCAGTGAAGATCACCATGGAGACCGTTTTACTGTCAAACGCTTCAAACAATAAACCATTAAAACATTCACTTCAATGTGAGCTTCATTATCTTCGTTTCACTACTTCACGTGTACCAACCATTTACGGTTTGCGTTTTCCCTCTGCGCAAATGTGTCCTCTCACGGCTCCCGTTGCTCCACATTGATTGGTCGTAGAGAAAATATGGCGCCGTCCGCGTAATTGTGAAAACATCATGAAAAAAACTTAAATCTGGTGTTTCACAGGGCAGAGTGTGTTTGACGCTTTCATATTTCACAACGGTATGTTATTATTAGTATTATTTCACAGCCTGTAAAGTCCAGTTCGGTGAAATGAACCGCGGGCTTTACTCTGCATTAGCTTGGTCCGCTTGCTAACAACCCAGCTAGTAAACTATGTTCACATTGGAGCAGAAGGTTCAGTCTGTCATTACCGCTCATTATCGATAGTTCAGCTTTATAGCACTGTGCTGGTTAGATAACGTCAACCTGCTGCACACTGTTTCACATTAACGCTACAGGCTAGTTGGATTTCCCAGGTCACATAGTTACATTTACATATGTCTTGTTTTCGGCAACATAGTCTAAAACCCCCAAATAGTCCATTTACAGTCATACAAAACAAAGAAGACAAGCACATTTATGTTCAGTTTTGCTTGAAAATGTACTCAAACTAATAATAATTGATCAAAATGGCTCAACTGTACACATAGCAGCAAAGGCTCAACTGTGTGGTCTTCCTCAAGCACCAATAACAGGATTGCATTATCACATTAGAGCCTTTCTGACAGTTCTTACGTTTAGTTGGGCAAATAAATGTTATTATGTTAGTTATTATGATATGTTATTCATGTATGTATTACATTTTGTAAACATTTCCAGTCTACAACATGCCTGCCTTCCGGCAAGTGGGAGAGAAGCAGCTTCCTAACCCAGTGCTGTGTATGGCATGGTCCCCCAAAAGGGATCTTATTGCTCTGGCCAACACGACTGGAGAGGTAGGCTTAAAACTAATTTATTGATCCTGAAACGTGTCTCTGTATCTTTTATTGTTTTGTAATTTCATGGCTGATGTTTGTCCATAGTTGCTGCTACACCGCTTGAATAGTTTCCAGCGAGTTTGGAGCTTACCACCCAGTGAGTACACTGGGAAGGAGATCACTGCACTTGCCTGGCGACCTGATGGCAAAAGTAAGGAATGACTGTGTGTGCCTTTTTTTTTTTATTAATCGTCTTGCTTGTTGATGGAAACATGAAGTTGTTATACCTTTACTCTCCAGTACTGGCCTTCAGCCTCGGAGACACCAAGCAGGTGGTCCTGTGTGGTGTTGAGAAAGCAGAGATCCTCCACGTGTTTCCAATGCAGAACCCTGTGACCTGCATGCACTGGATGGAGGTGGTGGAGGAGAGCAGGTATGCACGAGGCTCAGGGATCAAAGCAATGGCACAAAGGACGTCTGATTTTCTATAATAATGTGAATGTTTTTATGTGTTTCAGTGCCCTCAGCTCCTTCTATAACTCAGAGGATGAATCCAAACTTTTTCTTCCCAAATTACCAACACTCCCCAAGAGGTACCACTAGCATTCACTGCACATCAGATTATAAGAAAGCACCACCTGAGTTGATTAAATAACATCTGTTTAAACTGTTGTTTCTCCCCAGCTATAGCACGACTTCAAAGATCTTTAGGTGGGGCAGTATTTTAATGTATTAGTCCAATATCAGTTGTCTGTTGTATGTTTTGCTTGTGATAGCAGCCATATGTGTTTATCTATCTGTGTTACAGTGAGGAAAAGTCTGATGAGATAATGAATCTGCTGGGAGAAGTCAGGTAAATTAAATCTGTTTAATCTGAGTAATGCAGTGTTGTTTTGAATTTGAACTCATCACCCCATTTTGTTTACATGCAGGCTGAACATACTTGTTCTTGGAGGAGATGCTGGCTTTGTGGAGCTTTATGCCTACGGGATGTACAAGATTGCTACTTTAACAGGGGTAAGGCTCTTTCATTGAAGAGCTATTATTGTCCAAATTGCTCACTGCATATACTTGCCAGCAAAAACCTGACCCAAAGTGCAGAATTTCATTAAACAGCAAAGATAAAAAAGTCTAACTCTAAATTGGATATCACTGTAGAAACATTTTACAGTAAAATCAACTTCTCCACAACAAGCTTTACCCTAACAAATTTCCCCTTAGGGATGAATAAAGTATTTCTAAATCTGATTCTGATACCCTCAACAATTACTGTTCAGTTGCATCATCACTTCTCTGACACGGTCTCAACAGAGTTTAAACATCGGAAGCCTCACAACAATGACATTAATCATAAAGCGAATCTTCTCTTAACTGATGCTAGCAGCATCTACGCTAACTTCTTTAGCAGCCACTATTGTTGTTTTTGAGCAGTCACTTCTCACACACGTCGTCACACACACACCTAGCGTTAAACTGCGCCATAGCTCACACTGTAGCTGCCAGTAGTTCTTCATAAGACACAAGTGCATAGCTTGAAGCCTGGCAAGATGGATTTCTCGTGTGATTTTGTGACCTCAGCGAGTCCAACTGCCCTGCAAGTTGTACCCGTGGCAACAAGAAGGATGAAATGTGAAAGATCTTGAACTTGAATTTCCCTTGGGAT